TGGATATTTGTTACTGAAGATAGTCAGTACTTTTGTGGACATTTGTTACAGCAGGTAGATAGTCAGTACTTCAGTAGATATTTGTTACAACACAAAGTTAGTCAGTACTTCTGTGGATATTTGTTACAGCACATAGATAGTACTTTTATGGACATTTGTTACAGTAGATAGTCAGTACTTTTGTGGATATTTGTTACAGCACATAGATAGTCAGTACTTCTGTGGACATTTGTTACAGCAGATAGTCAGTACTTGTGTGGACATTTGTTACAGCAGATAGTCAGTACTTTTGTGGACATTTGTTACAGCAGGTAGTCAGTACTTTTGTGGACATTTGTTACAGCAGGTAATCAGTACTTTTGTGGACATTTGTTACAGCAGATAGTCAGTACTTTTGTGGACATTTGTTACAGCAGATAGTCAGTAATTTTGTGGACATTTGTTACAGCAGATAGTCAGTACTTTTGTGGACATTTGTTACAGCAGGTAATCAGTACTTTTGTGGACATTTGTTACAGCAGATAGTCAGTACTTTTGTGGACATTTGTTACAGCAGATAGTCAGTAATTTTGTGGACATTTGTTACAGCAGATAGTCAGTACTTTTGTGGACATTTGTTACAGCAGGTAATCAGTACTTTTGTGGTTATTTGTTACAGCAGATACATAGTCAGTACTTTTGTGGATATTTGTTACAGCAGATAGTCAGTACTTTAAAAACTTAAAAACAAAAGAAAAGAATGCAATAATGATAAGAATACGTGTAAGATAAAAAGACAGAAATAATTCGTACATTTAATGTTTATAATATACGGACGATTAAAAAGGCTCACTTCAACCGCCAGATCTTTGATTATAAAACTGAAGAATTTTCTGTACTTCGTCTTCTATGTCAGACACAATTGTTTTATTTTTTACAGCTAAATTCCAACGAGCCCTTACAGAACTAAGATCGTACACATGTAGATTTCTTAGATTTCTTTACTTAGACAGTAGCAACAAGTCAAAAATGACATAAGATGACTTCTTTCTTCAGCAAGTTCTTTTGTATACATAAATACCAAAATGTCAACATAATCAGATACCAAACTCAAATTCAATCAAACTGGTGCAAAATATGAACAAAAGAAATATTAGCACGGACACGTTTGACGAATTACAAGAAGTGTTCCGGAAGAGTAAGCGTCCTTTGCGTCATCAACGAGACTAGTCATGTAAACCTTGGTCAATCCAGGTAAGTAATGTCATGTTATCAAATAAGAACATTGTTACAACCACGGAACCAGCAGGCAAACTAACGAACATCAAACACGTCCAGCTTCATATCGCAAAATGAAATAGAATAATTCTCAATGAGATCACTATGACGACCGAAAAACTTTCCAATAATTTTCGTCAATCTGCATCTTTTGAAACCCTTTGTAACTTATCCGTATCAATGCGGTTCATTTCAATAGATATCTACATCATTCTCTAAAAGAATATTTAACCCGATTTTATGAGAATTATGTAATTATATAAGATCGATACAGTGAACTACAACTCTATATAAAAATAACAAGACTTTGTCCGTAGCGTAGGAATATGTGTATGCAGTGTTTCTTTACCAAAGCAAATATTTAGCTTACCATGCATTAGTCTTAGACTCATTCAGATCACCGGTTAACAATTAGGCTACGGACCTTCCTTTATTATATTAGATACATAATCTTCACAATTACTCTTATCATTTCTTATAAATTCAAATAAGGATTCCAGTCTTGCTGTGACGTGACTGTTCACTGAAGAAGTAAAATGGCAGAAATGTGGACTTTTAAGAATTCAAAACAGTTTGTGACCAATCTTGAACATCCGCCTAGGAAAACTAAAAAAAAGAAAAGAAAGAAAAAAACACCAGAATGTCTGATTTTTCAACTTTTTACATTAATTCTCAGGTTAAAAATGTTTTATTCGATGATAGTTGTGAACTATAACGAAGGGTATTTCTTGAAAAGAAACCAACATAATGCTTCAGTTTCTGATTGACAATGTCTTGAACAAGTTTGGTGGCATAACCTTCCAACAATGAATTGTAATTGTGCCCCTATCCTTGGCCGACTCTTTGTGCATTTTGTTTTTGTTTTCCCTTTCTAAACCTTTGGGATCCAGACCCATTGTGTATATAAAATGTTAAGCCCTTCCCCTAAAGATGCTTCGTCCCTCAGGCCCAGGGGTTTGGGGTGGCATGGTAGTGACAAGTGGCAAGACCTACCATTCATACAAAATTGGGCTTCACCCAAGGAAGGCTCAGACCAAACTTAAACAATATACCTTCACCCAAACAAGGATTTTAAAACTATTCTTCTATTGCACGTATTGAACCCTGGCCCTTAGGCCCCAGGTACCCGAGCCCTCCAGTTTTACAAAACTGGTTCTGCTTTACCATATGAAGATTACAATTACAACCAGAATTAGAAAGGTTTTAGATAAACTTATAGATATAGGTTAGACTGGTAGGTATATTTGTGAGAATACAATTAAGTAAGACATTATGCACTAAGCTGAAGAAAATGACATCCCTGGCATATTACTAAATGTTTATTTTGAAAAAGCCTTGGACTTTGGACTCAGTTGGGATTTTATTGATAAAGTGATTGAATTTTTTTTAACTTTGTGAATGATAACAAGGAATTGGGTCATACTTTTTTCAAAATGGTTCAAATTTGTCTGTTAATCAGGGGCAATATGTCTTCATTTTTACAACATTACATGTAGTTATCACAAGGGCAACCTCATCTCTCCATATCTATTTACCTCGTGTGCTGAAATTTCAGGATCAGCGAGAATTATTAAGAACTACAGAAAGTACTCGGATACTATTATCTCAACATGCAGATAATGCACCAGTCATTCTCGACGAATCTAGAATTTCTAGAATAAAGCAGACATATCAGATTAAAGATAAACATGAGTAAGACAGAAGTAATTTTAATAGGAAGCATGAAATGCAGTGTGGTAAAAAATTGTCCATGATGGAATTTACATTCGGAAAACAAAAAGATATTGTTTTGGGAATTGATTTCCTTGTAGATCTACATATAATTGTTAAAGTGAACTTTGATAAAAAAGTTAAACTTCAATCTCTTTTAAATAATAGGGATAAAACAACACTAATTACTACCCCTATATATTATTACCAAATCCTGACTTATCCTTTATCAACCCAAAAAACAAAAATAGTCAGAACTCTTCAACTTTCTTTGAAATGGAAAGTAGAAAGAGAAAAGGAACCTTATTATTTAAGACTTTACAGAAGAGGCCTGAAAATGATAGATTAAAAACTTTTATATTGGTATTAAGATTAACTAGCTAACCGGTTAATTCCCGGAACGGACGTGAAAAGGAAGGGAGTCCCCCGTCAACATGTGGGTTTTTCCCTGGTACTCAAGTTTCCTCCGACAGTAAGAACCCTCACATATTACATCCAAGTGTACAGAAGTACAGAAACACTCGTACATGTATTATGGGAGTGTACAGAAATACACAAACACTAGTACATGTATTACGGGAGTGTACACAAGAACAGAATCACTAGTACATGTACAGAAGTACAGAAACACTGGTACATGTATTACGGGAGTGTACATAAGTACAGAAACACTAGCACATGTATTACGGGAGTGTACATAAGTATACAGAAACACTAGTACATGTATTACGGGAGTGTACACAAGTACAGAAACAGTACATGTATTACGGGAGTGCACAGAAGTACAGAAACAATAGTACATGTACAGAAACACTATTACATGTATTACGGGAGTGTACAGATGTACAGAAACACTAGTACATGTATTACGGGAGTGTACAAAAGTATAGAAACACTAGTACATGTATTACGGGAGTGAACAGAAGTACAGAAACAATAGTACATGTATTACGGGAGTGTACAAAAGTATAGAAACACTAGTACATGTATTACGGGAGTGAACAGAAGTACAGAAACACTAGTACATATATTACGGGAGTGTACAGAAGTACAGAAACACTAGTACATGTATTACGGGAGTGTACACAAATACAGAAACACTAGTACATGTATTACGGGAGTGTACAGAAATACAGAAACACTAGTACATGTATTACGGGAGTGTACACAAGTACAGAATCACTAGTACATGTACAGAATACAGAAACACTAGTTCATGTATTACGAGAGCGTACACAAGTACAGAATCACTAGTACATGTTATACGGGAGTGTACAAAAGTACTGTACAGTCATTTTTCAGAACTTTGAAAATTTTCTTTATGCATTATTGATTCTTTTCATTTCAAATAAAAAAAAATGTTTGGTGCATACAGCAAAAAAAATATATAAAACGCACTACAGACAATCTCCTATTACTTATCATGAAGCAATATATCTATAGAGAAAGATGTTTACAATAACAATCTAGAGAGACAGAAATCAAGAAATAGGGATGATAGTCAAACTCCAAGGTGGCCACCTGTAAAGATAACATCCATTCCAACCATCTACCTTTGATTTTTTTTTAAATTTGAAAATATTTCATTCTATTTTTGGTATTTAAGTGTCATGAAAGTATTGTTAGAGCAAGCAAACTGAGATATAGCTTTCTTACCTAGAAATTGTTCAGATGAGGGAGCTTGGGGAGACATTCTTGTGGTTTCTAGCAGTCACTTTTTCTTGTTTCCAAGTAATGTTTATGGGGATAAGATAAATTCTGTTCATATTTATAGAATAATATACTTCATTTTAATGAGGACGAGGAAGAGATTCTGTAAATTTTGCACTACAGTGAATTCAATGTTGAGGAGGTGGAGGAGACCTGCTCATTAAAAAATTCAAATTGGTCCCAAACATTACACATGACTAGGGACCAAAGAAGTTCTTCATACAAATACCTGTATCATGTTAAGCTGAAGGCTGACGGTCAGAAGTTTAGACACGATTTGAACTGATCACGTCATGGTGGACTAAAAATAAGTAAATCTAACA